CCTCCCACTCTCTCCCTATTTATTTCAAAACCCCCTTCCCCTCCCCCTTTTCTGATGAAGGGTCTAGGCCCGAAACGTCAGCCTCTCTGCTCCTATGATGCTGCTTAGCCTGCTGTGTTCATCCAGCCCTGCACCTTGTTGTCTGGGACTGAGTAGGTGTTGGTCTCCAACCATTCTCTGAGTGCCAGTGACCTGAGGCATTTCGTCTTTGCGCAACTGTGGAATATGACAGAGCTCTGCTCACAGTGTGTGCTCCTGTCTCTCACTAAAGTATCCACTGAGATATCAATGTCTGAGCTGGTGGAGACTGCAGGGACGAAGCTTTGCCAGTCATCCACTGAAGATATTCCTCAGAAGGCTTCTTCTTTAGAGGTGGAGGAGGAGCTGCTTTGCAGAGCTATCCCTTGATGACAGACACTGTGCAGATATCATTGGTACCTGCAGGAGGAAAAAAAAGACAACAAGTTGTGAAACAGGGTCAGAGGTTTGAGCACATTAAGTGTACATTCGCAGTGATGGTATTGGGAGAGCAGTATGGCAATGGACAATGAATTTTAAAATAAAACAAAGTACTGCAGATGCTGGAAATATGAAACAAAGACAAAAATTGCTGGAGAAACTCAACAGGTCTGGTAGCACCTTTGGAGGGAAAACAGAGTTAAGGTTTTGCATCTGGTGACTTTTCTTCTTCTGTTCTTGTCCTCTGTACCACTTCATATGCCAGAATTTCTCGGTCGCTGTTGGCAAAGTGTGGAGCTAACTTACTTCTGTCCGCCAACTCTGAGGCAGTTCACTGGAACTGTGAAGGGCAACTCTGAACAGACAGTGGTTTACCTGGAGCACAACTGCATTTTAAAAATGGTGCTGCTGCTTGGAATCCTGGAAGATCCTGACAGTGGCAGGCAATTCTCCAACTAATGAGAGGAAGGCTGTGTGCAAGTGGAACACAATTGAGACAAGGTGCATTGTTAATAAAACAATCTGCAGAGAATAGCATGAGAAAACTAGCTCGGGCTCATGGAGAGAAAACCTACCATGAGACCTCCACAACTGGCACTTAGCTAATTTCTGGTAAAATTCAGCCCATAGTTTCCATTACTCTGTCAGCTCTCCTGTTATCATCTAAATAAGCTCTGTGCTTAACAAAGTAAAAGCAAGGTAAAGTCGCTATAGTTCTACCGCATCATAGGACTGCTCTCTCATTTGGGAGAGAGAGACCATTTATGATGGTTTAACCTCAGCATCACCATGCCTTAGGCAAGGGGAGAGATTATGAAGCAGAGTCCTTCATGGTATCTCAGCTGGTGTGGAAAGTGAACCCATGCTGTTGGCTTCATTCTACGTTGCAAATCAATGGTCCAGCCAATTGAGCTAACCCTACGGTCTGATATGTGCTTAGCATCCTTAAGCTAAACAACTATATTAGCTTTCTATGACTATCAACCTGCCTTTTTATGTTTCAGAAACTGACTCAAGAGCAGGTGAGTGTTGAATCTGTGAAATTCTTTAATGCAGAGGGCTGTAGGGACTGGGTTGTTAAGTATATTCAAGGCCAAGAGAGACAGATTTGTAATCAGTAAGGGAATCTAGGGTTATGGGCAAAAGGAAGGAAATTGGAGTCGAAGATTATCAGATCAGCAATGATCTCATTGAATGGTAGAGTAAACTCGATGGGCTGAATGGCTAACTACTAATTCTTAAGTCTTTGTGGTTTATGTCAATTTATTACACATATTTAATATTGCATGGGTAGAGCTCACAGTATTTGTATCAATAGTGGTGGTACTGTATATTTGGAGTGTAAACGCTGTCATGAATTTATTATCCTGATTCCCTTACTTTCATCACTTTGCACACTTCCCACTTACAGTCAAAGTTAAATTCTTATAAATTTTAAAACAATATCCTTTAAAGCGATATCTTTTGCAGCAATGTAGTGAAATTTGACAGTTCGTCCTCTGTGTCCTAAAAATCCATTAAAGGGAGGTCACGTGCATGTGTTTGACAATATAAAATTACACTTTATACTGCCAAGTCAGATAGCTTCAAGTTACATACATATGAACATTATGGGCAAAGATACATAAAAATGTCTGGAATGCCATTTATTTTCTCCTAAACTCTAGATTACTTTTCAACCATCAAGTTTACCTGATTTTTGAGCTGTAACTTAAGGAATCTTCACTCCTAACTTCATCGGCACCTTTCATTATTTTCGATTTCTGATCATAACCAGCTTTCTCTTTCTGTTTTCCTTCCTGTCTCTTATATTATTTATTTGTACTTGCCTTTTGCTGTTGCCATTCTTACTTCTTTTTTCTCCATTTCATCCATCCTATTATTAGTTACAAATGATGTATCATTTCTTCTTTCTCCTCCAATCTCCTTTCCTCTTTGTTTCTTACCTGTTCACCACCAAGTCCCCTGTAAAGTAATGATATTTTGCTGTGATATACTATTGAGTTAACCTATCAATTTTTTTCCTCTAGCTGTTATGAATAATATGTTTTCATGCTTTCTGCTAACTTTGTTTGCACTGTAGTCAAATTTCCCGGTGTATTTACTTTTACTTTAGCACTTTTCAGCTATTAATTACTAAACCAGAAAATGAATTGCTGCAGAAAAGTTGTTTATTTCAAGTAATCTCCATAATAGCTTCAATTTTAAGAATGACTTGGAGATGATATCTTGTCAATCTCCTAAGCATAATCCTGTCACACAGACAATGATAAAAATCGAAATTTCCATCGTTTCTGTTCTGGTGTTCTTGACAGACTTTTACCAGTAAAAACATATTATTATTATAAATTCTTCAAGAATTAAGGGAATATTTGTGACCTGTAATCATATAGTACAGACTCATTTAGCCTACCCTCTAAATTACACAGGATGCCAGTTTTTGAGTTAGTGCCTTCAAAGGGATGTCAAGTGATGTCAAGTTCTGAGGAAGGGTCACCGGACGCGAAACGTTAACGCTGTTTCCTCCTCCACAGATGCTGCCAGACCTGCTGAGCTTTTCCAGCAACTTTGTTTTTGATGCTTCCACTTGGATTGTGCTGCCTTGCCCTTCTACTGTTTACCCAAGCCCTGTACTATTTTTGAATCAGAATTGAAAGACAAGTTAGTGATAAAGGTTAGAAAATATGCATGACTGTCACTGAAAGGAGTTGCACATTGTCATTCAAATAATGCCCACTAACAAATTCTTTCTTAGTCATAATTTATTACCCCCAAGTTCACGAATCCCAATCTTGTGTAACAACCACTTGTGTGACATATTTCAAATGCCTTTTGGAAATGACCATGCCTTTTCCTAGTTATTATGTGGCCTTGTGTTTTGCCATATAGGAGGGAGTGTGTTAATAATAGCTCAGTTAAATGCTGTAGAGAAATGCTTGTCATAATCAAATGGTAAAGATACAAAAGCAAAAGACTACGACAGTTATAGAGTCATAAAAATGTACAGCATGGAAACAGACCCATCGGTCCAACTTGTCCATGCCAACCAGATATCCTATATAAATCTAATCCCATTTGCCAGAATCTGGCCCAGATCCCTCTAAACCCTTCCTATTCATATACCCATCCAGATGCCTTTTAAATGTTGTGATTATGCCAGCTGCCACCACTTCCTCTGGCAGCTCATAGCATACATGCACCACCTTCTGCGTGAAAAAGTTGCCCTTTAGGTTCCTTTTAAATCTTTCCCCTCTCACCTTAAACCTGTGCCGTTCCTACTATGTCTTAAACCTATGCCCTCTATTTTTGGTCTTCCCTACCCTGGGGAAAAGATCTTTTCTATTTACCCCATCCATGCTCCTCATGATTTTATAGACCTCTATAAGGTCACCCCCTCAGCCTCCGACGCTCCAGAGAAATAGCCTGTTCCTATAGCTCAAATCCTCCAACTCTGGCAACATCCTTGTAAATCGTTTCTGATTCAAAACCTATAATAAAAATGAAAAGTGATACAATACTTGTGTGGTCAAACAGAACACAAGAAGACATCATTTAGGAGCAGGAATGGGTTATTTGGCCGCTCGAACCTGCTGTGCCATATGATAAAATCATAGTTGATCTGACCATGTCCTCAATTCTACTTTTCTGCTTGACTCCCGTAACTTTTGTCCCCATTGTTGATCAAAAATATATATAACCTGACCTTATATATGTTCAATGAAGCAGCCTCTGCTGCTTTGTGGGGAAGATAATCACACAGACTAATGACCTTCTGAGAGAAAACTGTTCCCTTATCACAATCTTGAATGGACGCCCCTGATTTCTATAATTACTCTAATTTTAAACTCCCCACATGGGGAAAATCCTTCCAATATGTAGCTTGTCAGGTTCCCTCAGATTTTTTAATGAGTCACTGTACCTATTTACCAGCAGTTTTTGATTCATGTATGAAGACACCCAGCTCTGCCATATCCCTTCATTCAATAACATGCTGTTTTTTGCCAAAGTGGGCACAATCATATTTTCTCATATTATAACTCCATCTGCCAATTTTTACTCATTCATTTAATCTAAGTCCCTCTGTCGACTCTGCCTTCTTGACAACCTACTTTCTTACCTGTGTTAGTTATCTAAATTTGCTAATATCACATACTTTGGGTCCTTGCATCTAAGTCATTGATACAGGTTGTAACTATTTCAGGCCCCACTACTGATCCCTGTGGCACACTATCAGTAACAGTGTGACAACTAGAAAATGAACTATTTATCCCTATTATCTATTCACTGACCAGTCTTTTGTTTATATTGATGTATTCCCCTACCCCATGAGGTAGTGTCAAAAAGATTTGAAATGTTAACTCATTAACTAAAATGTTAAAATCAACCTGAAATGTTAACTTTGTTTCTCTCCAATGATGCTGCCTGATTTGCCAAATAGTGTGCAGCAGACTGAGATGGGAGAGTATATTGTATTTCTAGACCACCTATTCCACTGGTCATAACATGAATATAAATGCTTTTGCCCAGTTCCTGATATACCAATCATGGGTTGGCTAAATCAGTTGACTGGATAGCCACTTTATGGTGCAGAATGATGCCAGCAGTGTGGGTTCAATTCCTGCACCAGCTGAGGTTAACATGAAAAACTCTCCTTCTCAATTTTTCCCCTCAGCTGAGGTATGGTGATCCTCAGGGTAAATCACACCAGTCATCTCTCTCTAATGAGAGAGCAGCTCTGTGGTAGGACTGTGGTGACCTCCACATTTACCTTTATAACTAATCATATGCTTTGTCTATTTTAGACTTGGAATAAAAAGATCTATCAATTATGTTCCTTTAATGCAAAATTATTATTTTATTTTGAAGCATAACTTATTTGATGAAGATGCAGAACCAGTTAAAACATGAAATTTGCAATATAAATATTTACTGTCTCGTGTAGTACACGGACCAGGAAAGAAGGACCACAGATAACTGGATTTGATGTAACCTAATATAAAGTACTCTCCAAGGTTTAATTTAAAGAGGTAAACCATGGCAGGAGAGCTCAATTTCTTGGTTTGGTCCTCTTGTTCCATGTGGCAGGCCGGGGACAGTTCCAAACGCCCGGAAGGGGGCAGGAAGTGTCTCCAGGTATAGCTCCTGGAAGCTCGAGTTTCAGAGCTGGAGAGGGGACTGGAGACACTGTGGAGCATCCATGAGGCAGAGTATCATGGATAGCATGTATAGAGAGGAGGTCACACTGCAGCCTCAGACTCTGCAGGCAGGAGGGGAATGGTTGACCACCAGACAGAGCAAGAGAGATTGGCAGATAGTGCAGGAATCTCCTGTGGCCATTCCCCTGTTGCACCATAGTTGGTTGTGCTGCAGAGGGCAGGGGTAAAAAGTGTGCCAGGGCAATAGTTATAGGGGACTCAATTGTGAGGGGAATAGACAGGCATTTCTGT